TTCTTTAAGGTTATCCCTTTCAAGGGAATTAGTAGGTTCGGCAGGAGGGGAAAACTAAACCCCCGATTTATTAGACCATTTGAAGTTTTAGACACGATCGGTACTGCCGTCTACAAACTAGCACTGCCTCCAGAGCTCTCTAAGGTCCACAATGTGTTCCATGTATCCATGCTACGTAAGTACAACCCGGACCCCTCTCATGTCTTGGCTCATGAACCGCTTCTACTCCAGGAGGACTTATCTTATGAGAAGTACCAGTTGGTATTAAGAACCGAAAGAGTAGATTACTCTGCAACCGGGAAATATCCTTTGTAAAGGTCATGTGGCAGAACCACACGTCAAGGGAGGCTATATGGGAGCTAGAATCAGACTTTAGAGCCCAATACCCCAGTTGATCAATCAAGAATAAGAGGCAAATTTGAGGGACTAAATTTCTTTAAGGGGCGGAGAGTTGTAACACCCAAGAATTTTTATTTTTATTATTATTATTATCATTTTATTGTATTATTTTTAATTAATTCTAAATAAATATAATTAAGTATTAATAGAATTTAATTTATTTCAATAGAAATAATAATAATAAAAACAATAAAAAGGGAAAAAAAATTCTTAGGGATTTAATTGAAAATAATTTTGGAAAAAAGGGGTGAAAATTTAAAAATCGAGGGTCAAAATATAATTTAAAAAAATTACACCACGTCAGCTGCCTAGTCAGCAGCCCCGGCCAACCAGAACGCACCGCATGGCAGAGACGCTGACATGGGAGGCCACGTGGAAGGGAGCCACGTGGGCGATCCGCGTGCGTGCAATTAAATGGCTGAGATCTATTTCCGCGCGCACAGACGGCCCAGATTGAATCGTGCACGGACGGCCCAGATTGCGTCGCGATGAACGGTCCAAATTCATTTCATTTTTAATCGCGATCGGACGGTCTAGATTAAATCGCGATGGACGGCTCAGATTAAAAGTGAAAGGTTATAAATAATCTCATCCACACCCAAACCCTAACCCTAGCCGCCAGAGCCCTTGCCGGAGAAGACAGCCCAGCCGCCACCCGCTGCCACACTGGAGCACTTTTCAATCGCCAAACGAGGTAAAAAAATTCTCCTCTTGGCTTAGAATTCGATTCTAAACTCACCTGTGGCCAAATCGGAGCCAAAACACCGGCCAATTGGCCGCAAAATGCTGCCGAAGCCCAGCGACGCCACAACAGGTTGTCTCAATTTTTGCCTCCGATGAGACCCTTCCTGATTCTCGTTCGATGTAATGTTTTCACCATTGTGACCATTGTTCCCTCCTCTACAGGTTGATCGGAGCAAAACACCAAATCGCGACTCGAGCCGGAGGAGCCGCCGCACCGGAGAGCTCCGCCGACGGTAAGTTTCAGTTTTCGATATTTTTTCGGCCCACTGAGGGCCCTAGGGGTGTTTTCTCACAGGAATCAACTCAAGTTTGGCTGAATTCAGCCAAAAATGGCCGGAAACAGCCAACCCGAGGCGGATCGCCGCCATGCCAGAATTTCAAAATTGGTCGAATAGGCCTTGGGTCTAATTTTTGAGTTATTTGAGACATGTGTAGGTACCATAAGCGCGTTTCAATTCCCGAAAAATAATTCAGGGAATCTAGGAACTGTACATAGGCGCAGTGAAAATCTGATTTTCGACGTCGAATTAAGTAAAAACCCCTCATCCTATTTCCTATCACAGGATTAAAGTTTAATAAATGATAAAACTGTATTTGTATAAATTAAATAGATATGTATAATTTATTACGATTGCTAATGGAGCCCGAACCGGACATATTTCTCTATCAGCTCCTGTTTGATTTATTTTACAGTATAAATGCAGTATGGTATCTGATTTAATTATTATATAGTTTTTAAATGCATGAATCATTGCTTACTTCATTCCGGCCAGACTTTGTGAATATAATGATATGCTTGCCTTGTTGGATACTCGTTGATTGCCTTAGTATTCATGTTTATGTGGGAAACAGAAAACTAAGAAAAAAATAAGAAAGAGGTGTGAATTAATGAATAGATAAGTTGACAGCTTCACTAGATATCCTGGGAGATAGTGGATGGATCGGGTCCATAGGGAACCCTACCGGGAACGTTGTCTCATACCGGACGGGGTATGGAGACTTTAAATCTTTTGGCGCTCATACCGGACGGGGTATGAGGAAGGCCCGCTTCACCCTCATACCGGTCGGGGTATTGAGGTTTATTGTTCGGCGCTTATACCAGACGGGGTATAGGGACGGCCCTGAAAATTAAGTTTGTTAAGAGAAGGGTTTATGTGTAGCGGTGACCCCTA